CTATGGGGACCTCTGTAATCCAGACCTCATCCTGGATGACATGGGAGAGGGTGGGGGACAGGGATACCCTTCCTTCCTGGGGGGAAGGTGGGAGCTCTAACCTGAACCCTGCGTGCTAGGCTGTATGCCTGCTGCCAGAAGGCTGGGAACAGTGAGGGCTGGTTGACCTCACACGGCACAGCCTGTGGTTAGTCGCCTGGGCTGTTTGGGGATTAGGCAGGAAAGCCCTGGGACATTGGAACCTGCTGTGGGGGGAATGGAACCCTTATACCACCTTCCTGCTGATGGAGGCTCAGTCACCCAGGTACTAGCCACAGACTTGCCTGCCTCCTGCTTCCTTTATGACCAGTGAGGAGGCTCCCAGTTCCTTAGTGTGAATGGCAGGATGGCGGCTGCCTTGCCTAGAGTGCACACTCATGATCATCTGCAAGATTGCCTTTCCCACGCTCAGTTTCCTTGCCTGCCAATGAGGAAACTGGGTCCACCAGCAGCGGGGAACCATGCATGGCGATGGGACATAGACACCTGCAGCATGGTGTATGTGTTCAATACATACCGGGCTCCAAAGACTTGGGAGGAAAAAAGTATCAGGGAGGAAAAGGTCAGGGCCCCTGAGAGAGGAGGTCATGGGACCCTGGGGAAGGAGGCCATGCTCAACCTCGGGGAGACAGTGTAGCTTGAAGAAGGCTCCAGAAGGTTCAAGCCATACGGCAAAAGCATAGGGCTTACGAGGCAAGAGGAAGTGCAGGAAAAAAGCTGCAGCAGTGGGGTGTGTGAAAAAGATGGGAGTGGGCTGCCTGGTGGGCTGAGCCCAGACAGAGGCAGTGCATATAGCTGTGAAGGGAGGCTGGGGCCAGATGGTGGTGTCTCTGAATGCCAGATTGAGTTGGCTGGACACACAGCAGGCTAGCTGATGGGAGACAGGCTCGTGGGAGCCCCTACAAGGGCATCCAGGTGAGGGGAGAGGAGTCCTGCCACCTGGACCCACCAGCCCACCTCACAAACCATTGAGAACTTCCAGGCCCGCAGTTCTCTGGGAGTGCACCCTCTAACTTCTTCTCCCGTTGGGGGAGGACAGTTTCTTTATTCATAAGCACAAACTCCTGTCAGGCAGCATGCCTCTGGACACCTCTCTTTTAATTATAGCAGGAATTTCACTAGTGCTAGAGGGAAAGGCCAGATTTCCAACGGCCCCTGTGAGTGCACACAAGCCTCTTGCTCCCCTATTCTAGCCTATGGCCAGAGCCCAGGATGGCCTAGAGCGGCCAGAGAGGCAAATCTCTGAGCCTGGAGTTGGGTCTCCATCTTGAGTGGTTGGCACGGGCGGGTCCATGGGGACAGGAGGTGACTGCTCCCCACTCCTTGGCCACACACAGTGAGCAGTCCAAGTGGCTGGAGTGTGAGGCGTTGCCTTGGACACCTCCAAAGAGCAGGGTGGGAGGGAGCTGTATGTTGGCCAGGGCTGGATAAACAAAGCGAAAGGGGTGGCAGGTTGGAAACCTGGGAGGTCTCAGTTGTGCAGAGTCCTGGCCATGATGAAGGTGATGACACAGAGCAGACACAGCACTGCTGGGAAGCCTGGCGAGGAGGGTCTCCAAGGGAAAGAAGCAAGAAAATGAGACGGCCCTGGGGCTCATGGAGAAATTCCAGAAGGGGGGTTATAGCGGGAGTCACAGATATGACAGCACAGGAGGGAGGGCTGTTGTTGTGAGGAGGCAGGAGAAGGGCATGGGTACAGAGAGAACCAGAGAGACAAAGACAGTCACTCGGAGGGACACACACACACACACACACACACACACACACACACACACACACACACGGTTGAGCTGAGATTTGGAAGCCAAGGGAGAAGTAAAGAAACAGCTAGGCCATGTGGGCTGGCTGCTCTGAGGACTTCCCAAACCCCAAAAAGACCTGGTTCCGCAGAGGGGGACCTAGCTGGGATCACTCAGACACTTCAGGGTTGTGATTCTGGAGCAGGAGGCACAGGCCTCTAAGAGACCTTGTTCCATGATGGGATGGGAGATCATTGCTCTTAGTCTGCATATCCCCTGGGCAGGGGTCCAGGAGTTCATCTCATTCCCCCACACTGACCCTCTGTCAGCAGCACCGTGGTAAGCAAGGTGGCAGGGCCCTTCTGGACAGTCTGAATGTGAGGCCAGAGCCAAGTCTTGTATGTGGAGATGGCCTGAGGTGCCAGGGTCTTGACAGTGAGCTGCACACAGGGTGGGGGGACTCACACATATGTGGGCACTCTCTGTCCGTCACACACGTACACATATTCCCACACCTCACTCCTTATATGCCAGCCTACACAATCACACCCATATCCCCATACCTGTTCATGGCTAGGTACCAACACACACACACACACACACACCCCTGCACATCCTCCTTCCCTCCAGGGAAAGCAGACACCAAAGCATCATTGTCCTGCAATGTGCCCCTTTCTTGGTGACCTCCTCCAGCTTCCCTCTGGGAAGGGGTTCTGCAGGGGAGAGGTTCCACTCTCTGCTAATCCAGCCTCCCCAGGGTCCATTCTGGAAAGCCTCATGCTCTCTCCCAGACTCAGGAATGCTCTGAGGCCCTCCCACCTGCCACCTGAGTGCCCTGTGCAGCCCAACTCCAGCTTGCATACTTCTCAGTGATGAGGAGCGCACTACTCACCTGGCAGAGCAGCTTTAAATAAAAATCTCCAGACAGCTCAGACTCTTGGAAACTTGAAATTGAGCATGCCAGGGAGATATTGTGGTTGCCACCGAGGGACCCAAGCTCTGTTGGCCAGAGTCCACTGGCAAGACTGTCTTTTTTCATTAGTGTGGAAAATGACAGAGCCGGCCCATCACCTAGCTGTCTACTCTGAATTATAACAGAATTAGAGAAACAATGTCCTTTAGCCCAGTACTCCCTCCATGATTAATGGTAGCTAACAAGGATTCAAGATAATCACTCATTCATTCACTCACTCATTTAATAAAATGTCAATTGGGCAGCCACCAGGTGCCAAGCACTAGAATATGGCAGTGAGCAAGGATAATAATTTAATATTCTTTCCTAGTCTGACAACTGCCTTTCACCCATTTCACAGGTGGTAAAGCTGAGTCCAGGAAGAAACAGAGACTTGCTCAAAGTCACACAGGGGTCTGATGGTTAAGGGCAGAGCATCACGTAAGCGGCTGCAGGCGCCGACCATCTGCCAGCCCCGCAGGGAAAGGTAAAAGACTGCACACCCACCAGCCCCCGCCCAGCGGTTTCTAGGACATGGAGGTATTGATTACCACCCTCGCCATGGAGTGGTTTTCTTTTCTTTTTCCGTCAAGGCTTTCTGTTCTTTTCTATTTTTTTTTTTTTTTAGAATAAACTCCACGCCGCTCCTATGATTAATTACCAGCTGCCTAATGCTCCGCCACTGGCAATTTCTGGAAAGGGAATGAATTACCTTGAAAAACATCCGAAGAGAGAACCCACCGTGAAGGAGAATTTCAAAGGTTACCTCACAATTAGCAGTGGGTTCCCCTAGCCTTATCAAGTAGCCGGCAGGCCCTCTGGGGAGAGGCAGACCGCCAGCCTTGGGGGCCACCTCTGGTTCCTGAGGGCAGCTGGGCTGGGAGAGCTGGGTAAAGGCTGTAGACAGAAATGGAGGTGGTTTCCTGAGCACTAGCTGGGATTCTGACCCTGGTTCCATCCCAGGTCTCTAAGGCATCGAGTGCTGCTGAATTCCAAGGGACCTGGGTTCAAATCCCTACACTACCACGTACAGCACTATGGGTTTCTTAACCACTTTGAGCCACTGGAGAGCAAGGCCTTAAACACACCTCCTCAAGGGATTATGCGGGGAGAAATATGTATTTAAGGAGGGTATTGCCTAGCATACAATATACTCTCACTAAGCTGTTAACATTTAAGATCATTCCAGCCTGTTAAGCAGCCTCATAATTTTCCTCTCTGCAGTGCTGGTACAATTATCTTTGTTTTCAAATGAGAACACTGACTCCCACCAGAAGTAAAAAGACTAACCCAAGGTCATGAATCTGAGCAGGGAGCTGGGATTTTCTGCAGCAGGATGAAAGCTCCCTGCTCCAGAGCCCAACAAAATGTGTGAATCTCCAGGGCTCACCTGCCCTGCATCTGGGCCCGAGGGAGCACAGAGGCTAAGGTACTCTCATCTCTGGATTGGGAGCCAAAATAAAAAGGGATGACACAGGTGACCCTCTGGCATTGGGTTGAGTGAGATCAACCCCGAAATACCACTCTGATGAGACAGGCTGGTGTTCAGGTCAGAGGCCTGCCTGGGAAGCTCTGTCTTGGGTCCCACTGACTCCAGTGGCTCTTTCTCAGGGCTCTCTGAGGGACCTTAGCTTCCCACCTGCGGGGGCACCAGTCTGTCCATCTTGGCATTGGTGGGTCCTTTGGGGAGAGGGGATAGAATTGAGGTATGCAGGAAGAAGGAAGGTCCCAGCATCCTTGAGGGAAATACTGATAAAACTTGTATGCCATCGCTCTTTTATCGATAGCAAAGAGGCCAAGAGTAAGGGTGGACAAGTGCCAGAACCAGGATTTAAACTCAGGCATTGACCCCAGAGTCCAGAGACTTTGAGCGCTCGTGTGTATACCTCAGCATGGTGAGTGGGGTGGGGCAACAGAGCACCCAACTCAGTGAACAGCTCTCTCTGCCACCCAGGCCTCTTCCTGTGTGGCTGCCATGTTGTTTCACACATGAGACCCACATCCTACCAGGTACAGAGTGGGACGGAGTGGGCATCAGTGAGAACCACAAACCTGCCCCTCTCCTTGGGTGTACCCCACCACTCTAGAGAAAGGTCAGGTCTAAGAAGTCTCTGAGGAAGAGAAGCAGAGTGCAATGAGGTCTAAGCAGGAGTAGCTACACTCAAAACCACACATGAGGCTTGAGGCTTCTCAAAGACACAGAGGAACTGGGCTGTGCCTGCCTGGCATCCAAGGCCCACTGCCTCCCAGCAGCCCAGCTGAACACCTACCTCTGTGACCCTCGAATCACCAGCGTCCCACGTGCTGGTCAGCAGCTCTAGGCCCTCTGCCTCACTCCAGTTCCATCCTGCTGATATGAAAAGGGGTGGTCAGTGGGTCCACTCATAGCAGGGGCCCCTGAACCCACTGTGCTGCCACAGCCCACACGCCCACCTGCTGGGAAGTTTTCAGCCAGCAAAACTGAAATATCCCCATTTGATAGATGGGGGATCTGAAGGACTGAGAGGAAAAGGAGTATAATGATGGGGTGCCCAGATGCCAACTGGCCCCTGTCACCCCACATCTGCCAGTTCCCAGCTATGAGATCATTGATATGCTTCTGGTTTGTCTGGATTTTTCATCTGCTAAATGGGGCCACAATCTCTCTCCTGGGGTTTCTAGGAGGATCTAAGGACACAGGATGGCAGCACTTGGCATTCATTCATTTAAGAAACATTTAATGATCATCACAAGTTGGTGGTCCCTTGCTCTCATGGGGACTCAGACAAAGCAAAGAATCAAACAGTACATAGTTAAAAGTGGTGTCTGCCAGAAAGAATGAGTATGGCTGCCTAGCAGAAACTCAGGGATGGGAGGTGAAGTTAAGAGACAGCTCTCCTATCTGCCTACCAAGTCAGCTGAGGCACCAATTATCCTGTAGGGGCAGGCACTGGGCCCTGAGGAACACTGGGCCCCCAAGCTCTCAGAGGTAGCGCAGCATCCCCACCCCAGTACAGGAAAGAGGATGTGTTTACATCCTGACCCTTTGACTCTGGCAGCCCCCCAATTCTGCAAGCATGAACACAAAAGCCCTCTCCCATTTTACAGAGGAGGAAACTGAGGCCTGGAGAGGCAAAAATTGTTCCCACCCCATGCAGGAATCACGCAAAAAGTCCGCAACTGGGGCAAAACTGAAATCCGCATCCTGCTTCCCCACCACTCACAGCGCAGCCTTTCCCAAAGGCAAGCTGGCCTACAGACCCGCTGACAAAGAGAAAATAATTATTTTGGCAGCTGAGACAGAAGCCAGAGCCGGAAAGTCCTCGCTCACTCAGTGAGGATCGCCCAGGCCCCAAGGGAAGACGTCCGCCCAGCCGGTCTCTCAGGGGTGCTTGGGCTCGTGGCACACACTAGCGTGCCTTGCAGCTCCCAGACACCCCAGTTTCTTGGTACTGGCTTTGTGCAAAGGGGCAAGCAAACCAGAGAAGGGAAGAGACTTGCCCAAGGTCACATAGCAGTAAGTGGAGGCATTAGGATAAAGAACTGGGGCCCGGGTTGGGGAAAGAACCCCCACCATGAGGTGAGGAGTAGGAGGCTCACCTTTACTGAGTCCAGATTGGGGGTTTTCCTGGAATATTTCCTTTAACGCTCAGTGAAATGTTGTGAGGCATAAACTGGTACCTCCAATTTACACACGAGGTCCAGAGAAATTCTATAACTTCCTAAGGAGCTGATAAGAACGCAGCCAGGGTGTGAGAAACAGCCTGCGCCCGCTCATCCTCTGTCTCTCCAGGGCCACCAGCCAGGCAACCCAAACCCTGCTCAGCTGCTTGGCGCTGCTCAGCCACCCTGCACAAGACCGGGTGGCGCAGGGCACCCAGGCCTCCCTGCCACCATGCAGGGCACCCCTTAGACCGTACTGGGTTCCTGGCTGCCCAGGCAGGCTGGGGTGGGTGGGTGGGGAATGGCGCTTAGGAAGCAGGAACCCAGGCGGGGCTGGGAACATGGAAGTGACATGGTGTACCCTGGCCCCAGCCCTGCTGGTGCCCTTAGCAGAGGTTCGCAGCCCGTGGGCTTGGCTACCTGGTGAGGCCAGGAGAGGAGAAGGCAAGACAGGTGGGATGTCACTGGCTGCTCCCAGCCTCGCCAGGCACAACCAGAAGTAATGGGGCCACTGCAGGGAGCTGTTCTCTGCTTAAAGGTGCTCATAGGCATGGATCTGGGTGTAGCCTGAGCCTCAGGGCCAAGTGGGTTGGTGGCGCCATCCAGTCTCCCCAGGGGATGGGTACCCCACTCCCCATAGGGCTCTTGTGGGTGTCTTCAGCTCATGGTTTTCATTTGGGAGTTGGGCGGGAGGGGACACAGGGTGGCTCTGACTGAGGGAGAAAGGGGCGTGTGCAGGCCACAATAAACCAGGCCTTTTTTCTGGAGCACCAAGGGCAGGGCAGGGCAGGGCAGTCAGGGTGATTGTTTTGTAGAATAGGATACTAAGCTTCCAGCGAGGATGAGGATGCCAGAGGGATCACAGCCAGAGAGAGTCAAGGCAGGGTCTGGGACACAGCAGAGGTCACCCAGGTGGAGACTGTCTTAGGACCCAGAACAATTCTCTCAACCTCACCCCCTTTTCCATTCCCACCTCCCATTCCCACCTTCTCCTGGGATCCCCTAGGGGGACTTGGGTGTGGACTTGGTGGAGGCACCTGGGGCTGACTGGGGCTGGGGTCAGCCTGCAGAGACACAGGGTGCATGAGGACACCACCAGCACCCAGGTGGGCTTCAGGAAGGCTCTATGCTTGGGACTCGAGACCTGTGGCAAAGAGACTCCCGTTCTCTACAGCTGCCAAGACTGGGAGCCCGCATTCTGGCTGGATCCTTGGCCCTGTCCTCAGTGGGGAGGTTAAGGGCATGGTGGGCAGAGCTGGGTTTGAATCCCTGCTTTGTCCTTTAACTCTGGGTGACCTTGCACAAGTCACTTAGCCTCTCTGAGCCTTCATCTCCTCTCTGAACAGGGGCTAAGTGCCCCTCCAGCAACTTCCCCACCAAGGGAGGCTCTAGGCTTTCCCTGTGGAGCCTGGACCAGAACACACACTTACCCACATGCCCCTGGGGGTCGGGGCTGGACTGACCCAGTGTGGTGTGTAGCACAGGAGGTCACTCCGTGGCACCTCTGAACCAGAGTTCAGGCTCCTGCCACCTGTTGCTAATCATACATGTGCCCGTGGTGCCCTGGTGGCTGTGGGGACTTACTCCTATGTAGATACAGGAGCCACAAAGGAAGGAGCAGCTTAGTCAACAGTGACTGTTAAAGTTCAGGGTGGGGGGAGATTAATTGCTCAAGGTCCTCAGTGGTCACGTGGGGACCAGAACCATGCTCATGTGGGCATCTGCCCAAACTGGGTCCAACCTGCTGCTCCACTGGCTGAACTGACCTGAACTGGCTCTCGCCGGTCTGACCCTCAGTGCTGGGGCTACACCAGAGAGCAGTTCCTACCCCATTTTACGGATGGACCAAATAGCTACTGGTCCCTTGGCCCAGACGCCAGGGGCTCTGCTCTGGCCCTGCACAGGGAGGGTGGCATCAGACCCAGCTCCCTGGCTTTCTAGGGTGACATGGATGCCCCCACTCCAGAGATCCACCCAGAGAAGCATCCCCTTACTTGACCCTCATCATCCTCTGGCGGCCAGGGCTGGCTCCAGGAGCAAGGCAAATATTTACCCCGATGGTTATCCAAACCAGGCTGGCGCCCCGCCTCCCACATTCCTGGAATACGTATTCCCTGACCTCACCAAGCTTGGGGGGGTTGGTGGTGGTAGTGGTGGCTGGGAGGAGGAATCCAGACATAGGGGAAGAGCCAGCCAGACAGAGGGTCCCAGGCCTACACGGAAGGCAAGGCCCACTCACTAGGGGGAAAAAGGGCAGCTTTAAATGGTCCTGGAGCTATTTACCCACTAGGAGAGGCTTCAAGCTGATCGTGTAGAATAGAACATCAGCCAGAGCACTGACCTCCCCACAAGCCACTGGGGGAGGGGCTGGACTGCTCAGTGTGGTGTGACAGGGTAGGGGCTACAGAATGTCACCTCTGAGCCTGCAGTGCAGGCCTCCAGCTCCTTGGACTTACTGCCAAACACCCACACACACACCCACGCACACACCCATTGTGCCTACAGATTGAGCAACACAGCCTGCTGCAAACAGGGCACATTCTCCCACCTCTCAGAACCCTCCCCCAACCCCAGCAGCTCTCACGGTCTCACTCCATCCTCAGTACAGTCCTGCCGCCAGGAGCTGTAAGCTCCCCTTTACAGGTGAAGAAACTGCCCAGCAGAGACCAGAGGTCATGCACTGTAAGCAGCAAAACACACGCCATCTCACCCCAAACCATACTTTCTATAGCTCTGCCCATCGGAACCCTGTTCATCCTTCAAGGCCCAAAGGGCCTCCTCCTCTGTGCTGCCTTCCCTGATAGTCACTCCTCTGCCCTCCCCTCTCATGATCTTTCCCTTCCCTGAACATCCAGACATTTTGATGACTTCTTTCTCTTTGCATAATTAAACTCGATCCCTGCTTATCTTAACTATGATTGTGAGGCCCTTGCACTCAGCTCAGGCACAGCAGAGTGGAGCCTAGAAACTTGGGTGGCCCTGAATGCTCAGGGGAGGACAGAATTCCTGAATCTTTTCACCGGGAGACCAATAGCTGCAGTTGGCCTCAAAGAACAAACAGATAAGAAAGAAGACCTGCAGGTTGGTTCTCTTGGGTGTGGGGGGGTCCTCCTGGGCAGAGCCGCCTATGAACCATGAGGCACCCCTGGTTCAATCATCCTGTCTGCCTTCGCTTCCACTGGGTATATATGGAGCTGTTCTGGCACCCTGCCTGCTCCCAGACTCAGGGAAGGCTGGCCCCTAGCTCCATGCAGCAGGCTTTCCAGCCTCCCCCTTTCCTGCTGGGACCCTCAGAAGGAACTAGGGAAAGGTGCTGGGAACCTGGAAAGCCAGGCCTGGGAAGCTGGGGTGAGTCCACTCAGGGATGTGAGGGATGCCCTCTGGTGGGGAAAGCCTGGGAGCCAAACCCTGGCACTATGGGAATCCCAAAGAGTGGGTGTTGGGGAAGGGTGGGGTTCCTAGAACTGTCCCTGCACCCAACATCTCTGAGACTTGGTTTCTTCAGTTGGAAAGTGGGCATTGTAAACCGAATTCAAGGAGTTGATCCTTCTTTTGCTTGTTTATTTTATTCATTTGTTCATTCCTTTCTTTCAACAACTAATGACAGTGCCTACTACCTGCCAGAGGAAGGATGGGCACAGCTGCGCCCTTGCCAAGGGTCTGGGTCTTGCCCATAGGGGTATCTGGCTGGGGTGGTCAAACCTGGCC